AATTTCCCTTTACACAAGGAATTATTGTTGCAACAGTTGCTCTGTGGTTTTTAATATTGGTTGTGAAGTAACTCTTAATACCAACCCCAAGAAGAGCACTTCAGCAGTTTTCACATATAATGGGTTAAGAAGACAGAAAATTTATGCAATTGCTGAGCAGTTACCACTACATTGATAGTAATGGGTCAACTCCAGCTAACATGAGCTAGTAACCAACAACATATTTATCTCCAGTGACATTGCATTCATTTAACATGGACAGGGATTTTCTGTCACCCTTAAAGAGATCTTGAAATTTCATGTGGTCACTTAGGAAAATGAAACAGATTACTGTGGCCATTTGAAGATAAATGTTATTTCATATATTTAGCTCCAAGTCGACATCTTTAGATTCAAAGATTGTTATTTTACAAGCCAATTATAATTAGCAATACAGTTTCTCTTCTCCTTTAATCATAACATATAGTATTTCTTAGGAAAAAGAAATGCAAAGCAAAAATAGTATAGAATATTCATACTTAAAGGCTTTGTGTGGTTTATTACTATTATTATTATTATTATTATTGTTATTACTATTCCTTGAAATCTCAGTGATAAGGATATCACTTAGGTTTTCTTCATCTGCCTTCTTGTAGTCATTGGGAAATATGCCTGTGTCTCTCATTCTTAGTTTCAGAAACATGATTGGTTATACACATGATCACTATTAGTGGAAGCAAGAAAGATCATTTTATTTACTTGTATTTTTATTTATTTTTAAAAAGTGGAAAGTGGTATGTGATAACTAATTATAAATGCATGCTATTTATTTAGGTAGAGCTGGAGAATGAAACTTTCAGGCATTTAAATTGTGAAATAGGTAAATGTTGTGAAATGTGAATCCAGAGAAATGAAACTATTAAAAGGAATTTGGTTTTAGTTGCACAGATTTTTTTTTTAAATGAAGAGTAACGACTGAGGAAGTAATCAGATTCAACTTACTACTTTGTTCCCACAAATACACCAAAACATTTAAAATGAAATACTATTTTTCTTTTATATTTTATTTGAATATTGAGTACCTAACATACTAATTTGTTAAACTTTCTCTTTAAAATATTGTTGTTTATTATTGGTGCATACTTTTTCTTGGCTTATTTATTTTATTTGATGGCCTAAAAAGAACAGCAAACTTTGTTTGAAATGGTTTTTTAAACTTTACTAAAATAGGAGTTTTTGCTGATTTTAGGGGTGTATGTGTGTGCTTATTTGGATTTATTGTCAAATAGTATACCCATAGGACAGTTCTCTCTATTTCAGAGCAGGTGGAAATATAAATATTTAAATGCCCAGAATGCTACTTTAAAATCAACATAAGAAAGAGCTGTCAAATTATTCAAATAATGAAAAAGTACCATCTTGTTTACAGTTTTAAAACTACAGAGCAACAAGCACAGAAAGTACCACTACATGAAAAATATTTTACACAATAAAAGAAGAATGTTTCAATAAAATTGTATTAATAAAGATTCTTTATTGAAAGCTTTATTAAAAGCTGCTTTATTAAAAGCTTTATTAAAGCTTCTAAAGCCATATCAGTAAGTTTTGACTAGATGACTTTAAAGTGAAATAAGTTTAAAATAAAGACAGAATATGATTGTGTGTATGAAATCTAAACATGAGTTCTTTTACTATGGCAAATTATTTTAGATTTGGTGTAATACAAACATAGTGATTCCTTGAGTTTAATTACACTGACAAGGAAAAAACATCAAGAAATTACTCCCTTGAGCTGCATATTCTGCTACTTTTGGTGTCTTGTAATGAAACAATTGTACAAACTTTATATTAGTTTAATTTAAACAAATGTTCATGGGTGGTTGAATGTATAAATGTAGTTTCAATTCTAAGAATATTGTGAAAGACCTGGAAAATGAATTACAGGAACCGAAAGTAGCATGGTCACTGTGTGCGTGCGTGTTAAACACATAATAAGATTTATGAAATCCATTTTCAGTACATTACTTTCAGACTTCTTAAAAAGTAAAAACTCCCCATTAAAAGGCACTTAACTTGTTTTCCTTATAATATATGCCAGCTAAAACATAATTTAAAAAGTAAGGTTAAGAAAGGTTTCTTACTTTACTTATTTGGATAGAGTAATGCTTTTCCCTCAAATACAAATTCTTGAAGACCGGTTAAGAATAATTAACGATGGGCACCCAGGCATCTGAAAGAACAAGGAGTCTATTTTCCTTTGTTCTTGTCTGATTTCTGTTGAGTAAAGAGATTCTGCCCCAAAGGGATAAAATGTCTCCTTACTTTCAGGGTGTTTTTAAAAACACGATTCCTTGACCTTTTATAGGTTTAAAAACATTTTTATTATTTTGAATATTAGGTGACCTGCATAATGTTTAATTTAAATTTTTTGTATAAACCCATTGGTATAATTATACCTATTTTCCAATTTAAGTTTGTATATATGTCTATCTCTAGTAGAAAAATACCATCAGTTTAAAATGATGTCACTAACATAGTCACCTGGTTTAAATAAATGTAAGATTCTAAAGCCTTGAAATGAAATTAAGATAAAGAGGAACAGAATACCTATAATATTGTATGTCAACTGTAGTTGAAATATTAAAAAAAAACCCAGAACACCAAACATTCTAAATACTGTTGATTTTGTTTATACTACTTTCTGTAACAATCTAATTTTCTATAATTTTATATATTGAGGAGTACATAAATCCTGTGATAGAAAAATGCTTCCACATATGTCTGACTTGGAAAATACATTTATAAAAAGAATGTTGTCTTTAAAATAAAATTTGTGTAGCTTTTTTCTTATTTTTAATTTTTTTAGAAGTTGAGTGCTGTGTTATTTCTTATTAGAGTGGATTTGCTCTGAAGATATTAAGAGGGCATTTTTTGAGGGTGGGAGGTGGGGAAGGGTGAGGCAGGGGAGTAGTGGACACAACTGTACTTGAACAACAATTTTTTTAAAAAGAAGACATTTTCCTGAATTTATATCTTTAACTGTTAGGCTATATTAATAAAAATTTTAAAACTGGTTCATAATCTAAATATATTGTTTAACATTTTAAAATCTCAGAACATCTTTTCATTATGGCTCATCAGTTTTTATTTAGTGCTTCAAATAAATTACAAATTTAGTAATTTGGATTGTGTAAATTATTCAAAATAAATAGGAGTGTAATTTGTTTTTATGTTACTTTGGAAAACTGAATTTTATTGTATGTTCTTAAACAGTTTTTAAATCAATAAAATCACCCTTATTTCACCCTTAATGCATAGTTGTTAACTTAAGGGGAAACATTAAATCATCAGCTAGAAATATGGATGAAATGGAAAGTGGCCTGTACTGCAGTAGTTTAGCTGTTCAACGATATTAAACCTGATACAAGGACTTACTGAAAAAATAAGGCTAATTCCCAAAAGAAAAATTCTCTCTTTGGAAATAAATTGTAAAACTACAAAATTACATTGTAGAATTTAGTTAATAATTCACTTTGAGAGCCTATATACTTAAACTTCAAAGTGTTTGCATTGACTATTAATATCTTTTAAAATATATTTTAAAAACCTTATTGGTTTAATTCCTTTGACTTTTTCACCACCCTCAACAAGTAGGTAGGAGGAAGGTATTATTATTTTTAATACTTGTAATGTTGTGGTAACTTGTAGGGTTATTCCATCTATTATTTGTTAAAGGTTTTGTTTGTTTTAAGTAGGAATACACAACTTCCATTGTGGCTTAGAGAAGTGCTTTAAATCCTGTTCTTATTCTATGAAGGAACCTTCTCTTTTTTTTTTCTTTTTCTTTTTTTTTTTTTTTTAATATCCTGACCTTTCTATAGGATTGTTGGCTGTTAGAGTACTGAACTAAAGAGAGAGAAAGAGATTCTATGATGTGAACACTTTTTTTTTTTTAAGATTTTATTTATTTATTTTTAGAGAGGGAAGGGAGGGAGCTAGAAAGAGAGAGAAATATCAATGCGGTTGCTGGGGGTCATGGCCTGCAACCCAGGCATGTGCCCTGACTGGGAATCGAACCTGCGACACTTTGGATCGCAGCCTGCGCTCAATCCACTGAGCTACGCCAGCCAGGGCGTGAACACTTTTTAAAAAGATATTTACACAGTAGCTAGTATTTTTCATTTTGATTGAAGTATATGCCATTTCAAAATAAAAGAATTGTCAAATTTCAGATTGGTACTTTTAAGAAAAATAGATACATATATATATAATTGTAGCATTGACATGCTGAAAGAGGAGAATTGTGGAAATAAGCTAGCCAGCCAAATGCATGTTTCAGCATCAGAAGTGACAACAGGGAAATAAAAAGAGGACTGATTTCAGACTCTGAAGAATCTGCTCTATCTATACCCTAGCATTATTTAAAGTCTTAAGTAAAATATTTATGAAAACACTTTATATAAACTAGCACAAGCTGTGCAAATATAAGATGTTATTTTGCTTTTGAGTATAATGAATGCTTAGCTATTACCACATAAATGTTTTTTCAGTCTTCTGACTAGTGATCAGCACAGGTGTCTTCCTCGGCCGTCTTGAAAAATCCTGTGATTGTTTACCCTGGTATTAATCAGGGAATGAGTCTGGCAAGTTGTAGAAGGGAAGATGTGGTAGGCCAGTATTTCCAAAAGAATGAGTTGGTTTGTGGTTAGCTTATAGCATTTTGTTCATCCCTAGATAATCCAGAGGGGATCCTAAAAAATCAAGGACCCTAGCAGCGTCTGGGCTTATTCTTGAAATCTGGTACAAGTTTATCATTAAGAATATAATTAATGTTCTGTCAGAGATTTTATTTGCATGTTTTCCAGGCCAACCCATAATTTTTAAAAATAATTCATCTTACTTGTTAAATGAATCAATGCTTTTAGATTGTGAGACATTTAATATTATAAACTCTATAAACAGTCATCTTTCCTTCTTTCTTATACTTTTCATTAATGTTTTGATATCCTTCTTTTATATAGGACTTTGCCTCCCGGGCTAAGCTGGCAGTTCAGAACCTAGTACAGAAGGTTGGATTTTTTGGAATTTTGGCCTGTGCTTCAGTAAGTAAATTGTATTAAAAGTGAGAAATTCCAATAAATGGTAGATTTATATTTTGATCTAATTTTAGTTTTTAAAGGTACATGCCTGAATGAACAACAATGCTATCAATTTTAATGGATATGTAATTTTATTATTCATTCATCTTACTCATCAAATGAGTGTTTTCTGTTGGACAAGTTCATATTTCATTTGTTAAACTTTTAAGTATTTCATCATGCCATGATGACTTGAGTCTTAAATGGCTTGATTCAATAAGAACAAAAGAGAAAAAATCCATCCTTCCCATGAAGAATTTATAATGAAGTGCATTTAATCAAATAACAATGACTTCATTCTTTCCAGAGTTATAGATAAGTAGTCGTCTTCTTCCAAAGTTTCAAGCATTAGTTACAAAGAAGAATTTGTATAAAACCTATCTTAAGTGACATGAACACCTAGTTAGATAATTGGAACATCAGTGGCAAAGTGAAGGGCATCTTGCAGGCGTGTCAAACTCATTTTCACTGGGGGCCACATCAGCCTCGTGGTTGCCTTCAAAGGGCTGAATGTAATTTTAGGACTGTGTAAATGTAACTATTCCTTAACTAGGGACAAGAAGCTCAGCACTGCCTCTGGGGAGAAATGAGGTGCTGGGCCGGATAAAACAAGGTGGAGGGCTGAATTCGCTCCACGGGCCTTGTGTTCACCACCTGTGGGTTAGAGCGAACTAAGAAGCCTGTATGTCAAAAACTTAATGTTTTCACTCTAGTGTACACGTGAAGCTAATACAAAATAAAAATGAATATAAACTGTAGTTGAAAAAAATTTTTAGTTAATGTCTCAAATTGCAGATGTGTGAAATTGATATTCTTTGATGAGTTAGTGTTTATCCTGGTCATTTTCTAATATAATGGAAACAATTACATTTGAAATGGAGCATTTTGATCGAAGTTTTCTTTGGTTGCCTGTACACAATTGTGGGTAGTTCACTGGTGGATTTGGCCAGAATAACTAGGTGTACCTAGTTCATATGACAAAAGCTGCCATTATAAGTAAAATTCACAAAATTCTTTTCTACTAACACAGCTATTTTCTCCATTACATACTAGAACATTAATACATCTTTGAATACCCCCTTCCCACCCTTTAGCAAAAAGCAAATGGCCAAAAAGGAGATCATTGGGTGCCAAAACTTCTTACCTGATATCAGCATCCTAGAAATATTCTAAAATATACATGTGCCTTTATCACAATGTTGATCTTAACTATTCGAGCAGTTACAGGCATGTTGTAGTGTGCTGCAGTGGAAAGAATTGGCTTTGGAGTCAGGCTTAGGTTCTTAAGCCAGTGTTGACTCGAACAAGCTATGTCACCTCAGTCCGCTTACTTTGAGCAGGTTTTTAATTTTCAAAATGGAGCGATAAGACGTGCATTACCAAGGCCTGTGTGAAGATTAAGATTATATGTGTGGGTCCTTTTGTAGTTCATAAGCATGATGATTGGGTGTTCACACTCTTGTGTGAGGTGGAGCCTGATAAAAATTGTAATTTGCAGAGTTGTAAGACAGTTGTAAGGCTGGAAAATGATGCTGTTATTACCTGGTTGTAAGACAGATGAAATTTTATAAAGCCTTTGAATTTAGATGGGAAAAAAAACTGAGTTGTTGAATCCAAGTGTTACTAATAGAAGAATACTTGAGTTCTACTTTAGTATGGCCGTTTTTAAAAAGGTCTATGTGACAAATAATTTTTAAATAACTAGGCTTTTCTTTGAAAGTTCCAAAATGAAATTATATAAATTAATTGACTGATAAATGGCTTGGTCAAACAGCCACAAGGACAGAGTACTTCGATGGGGGAAATGGATGAAGCACTCAAAAACAGTTTGTGGTTTCTTTGCATTTTTATATGACATTGTCTTTGAGCAGTTTTGAAATATGGAAATGTTTGGAAAAGGTATTTGTTGTGAATCACTCTTTGTCTGGGACTAAATATTCAAAACATCTGAATCAGTTCTCTTGTATTTCCACACTTTATTTTCCTTCTAAAATGTATCATACAGCCCCACAGCCTTGGGCTCTCATAAAATAAAATACAAATACTGAATTATTTTTTATGTTGAAAAGTGAAAACATACCCACCCATAAATGTATTTATGAATTTATAAGAATGTTTGATCTATATAGATAATATTCTATTTCAGGCTAAAGATTTTCAAACCCTAATAACTTCTGAAATAATTTTAAGACTTTTTCTCATTTATACCTCACCTTAGAAAATAGCTACCAAACCTTGATTGGTGTAGCTCAGTGGATTGAGCGTGGGCTATGAACCAAAGGGTTCATAGTTCAATTCCCAGTCAAGGCACATGCCTGGGTTGTGGGCCAGGTTCTCAATATGGGGCATGTGAGAGGCAACCACATGTTGATATTTCTCTCCCTTTCTCCTTCTCTTCTCCTCTCTCTAAAAATGAATAAATAAAATCTTTAAAAAAAGAAAATAGCTACCAAATAGCCAAGTGTCCACTGAATAGTATTACATTCCTTGGATCCATTAGCTTTATCCAATTCTAATGTGAATTGGATAGAAAAAATATATTGTGTTGCATTAGCCATAAGTAATGCAAGCAAAAGGACAGTTGGTTTGCTTTGAGTAGATTGAACAACAGCCTGAGATGAATATGAGACCAAATTTGTAGACACATAAGAATACTTGTCTAAACTTCTGAACAGCCTAGTATGATCAAGGAACCATACCTCTCTTTGTAGTTTGAGTAAGAATTTACTTACAGGGTGTAAAATTAAACTGTTCTTTGGATTATATGTGGAAGTTCCATTATTTATTTATTTTTGCAGATTCCAAATCCTCTATTTGACCTGGCTGGAATAACATGTGGACACTTTCTTGTACCTTTTTGGACTTTCTTTGGTGCAACCTTGATTGGAAAAGCAATAATTAAAATGCATATTCAGGTAAGTAAATTGTCTTATCTCCTGCATAATGATAATGATCCATTAAAAGGCACTGAAATATGTTTCCCTTGCCCATTGCAAGCTGAATTGTTAAAATTTCGGTTCTGCCTCTTTTGGTTGGTAGCTTGCCTAGGTTTTTAACCATGTCATTTAGAAGTTAGTGGGTTTTTGGCAGGTTTTCCCTGTCCCTATTGGAAAATTGTGTTCCCTTAGAAAATTGTGCTCCCTTATTATTTTTGTCCTTGTTTCCTTTCCTTCTTTTCTACCTTCATTCTTTGTCTCTTTCTTTCTTTATTTCACTTTTTGCCTTATAAAACTCTTCATCCAGGACTTTCACCAAACATACATTATTTTCACATATGTAGTCCCAAAAAATGCACCTTTACTGACCATGAGCTGAGAGAATATTGCCTTTCACTATTTCAGCTTTTCTTTCACACACTGAGTATAGAGCACTTCCTCTCAAGATACCAGTGTCCTTTACAGAAAACCAGACAGATGCTAGTGTAGGAGAGAATGGGGAAGAAAGGGGTCTCTGAAGAGGCAAAAAGTTGTGGGTTGTGGTTAGAGAAGTGAAAATATGCTAGTCTTCAAAGCCATTTTTAACAAAAATCTTTGATATATACTATATGACTAAAGGAAAGAAAAGAGACTAAAAAAAAAAAACTTAAATGAGGGGAAATGGATATGTGCTTCTAGGACTATGATATGAATTATCTCCTTCTAAGGGCACATGTCACCAGAATAAAATAAAATTAACCTGGAAAGAATTTCTTAATCAATGAGGTTTGCAGCAAAGAAGCATTCACCAAAGGAAAGGCAAGAACAGTGAGTAATGTCTATGCCCTGGTATGGTCCCTTAATAACTAAAAACAGGCCTAACTCCCAGATTTCTTCTTAACATTTTTCTGCCTCTGGTTCTTAGAAGAGAAGAATGAAACAAAATTTTCAGCTGCTTCTATCTGCCCAGTTTCTAACACTAGCCTATGATGTGTGAGATGAGTTTATTGAACGTGTCCTACACTCTCCTTCATGACAATCACTCAGCATTTCAGGGATATGCTTTTCCTCCTTCAAGGAATATATTTTTCTCCCACTAAGTATATTTTGCAATGAGCATGAGTTATTTAATATTGGAATGCTAGTTTCTTTGGTAAATATTTAAATACCATATCAGGATTTTTCAAATAATAAAATATTGTGGTGAGTAATATATCATTTTACAATGTATCTGAAGGTAATATTCTCTGTAATCTTTTTAGTTCTTGCTGGAGAAAGAAAGAAGCTATCATTTAGCTTTTGGGAGGTCTTTGAAAGTAACAACAGATTTCTTTAATTCCCTTTATAACAGCAACTTCTGTCGGAATCCAGAAACTTATGCATCCTGCTGTAGGTAGTACTCTTCGATAAATTATAGCAAAATTTATTATGCCAAAAGTACCCTAGTGATAGAGTATGCAACTTAACAAACCTTTCATTGCAGAATAATGAACAATAGTATATTTTTTCGCTGACGGTGTGGCTCAGTGAATTGAGCACTGGCCTGCGAACCAAAGGGTCACCGGATTGATTCCCAGTCAGGGCACATGCCAGGGTTGTGGGCCAGGTCCCCGCTAGTAGGGGTGGTGTGAGAGACAACCACACATTGATGTTTCTCTCCTTTTCTTTCTCCCTCCTTTCCCCTCTCTCTAAAAATAAATAAAAATATTTTAAGAAATAGTATATTTTTTAAATATTCTCAGGTTTTTTAGAGTTGCAATAATGCTTTTTTATATATGTGTAGTACTTCACACTTTAAAGCACCTAATGTTATGTCATCTGATTTCATTGTAATCCTGGGATAGAGAAAGTATTACTCCCATTTTGCAAATATTAAACCTCCAGAGGTTAATAAGTAATAGGTACTTAAGTGTGAGTAGCAACTGGAATTTGAACCCTAGTCTTTTGGCCTCAAGTTCAGTGTTTTTTCCAGTGTTTTGAATTGTCTTCTTAATTATACATTATTTATATGGTTAAGAAAACTGGATTATTTGATGCCTGCTATTTATCAGGGCCTGTGCCAGGCAGTTGGCATTGGTTTTCTCAGATCAGTCCTATGAAGTGGTTATTTTCCCTATTTCACAGATGAGGGAACTGAGTTGTTAGAAAAGATAAAATATGTGCCTAAGGCCCAGGATTCAAACTTAAACTTTAAAGCTCATTCCCTGTTCCTATGTAGAAGAAAAAAAAAACAGTTAAAATCCATCTATGTTTCTGAAAGGGAAGAATCTGAGTTCCTTCACTAGACTGAGAACGTGGGATATGTTTGCTCTCTTTGTTCCGTTGTATCAGAGAGACGTGCTTTCTCAAGGCATGTCACTTGATGTACATCCAGCTGGAGCTCAGGGCTACAAACATTTCTCATTCCTTGGGTAAGCAGTATTAGTGAGTAATATAAACATTGTAACTGTTTCTGAAAACAAAGGAGACACCACACACAGATTTTTCTGTAATCTAAGAGTAAACCTGTCTCTTCTGGTTCTCTTTTTATTCCTCACCTTACACTGGACAATTTTCCTGGATAAATATTGTTATTTTTGTTTTTATTTTTATATTTTGTTATTTGTTAAACCTCCCATAAAAATGTCAGATCAGCCCACCTAATAATGTTAAATCAGGATTTCCCCTCCCACAAGATGAAGTCCTCTGCCTGTAGAAGGACACTTAGAAACGATGATGAAGAAGGTGAGAAGTCAGTGTGCTTATGGGTAGTACTTCATGTGCCATACAATTACTTATCATGTGTATTTGTTTATTGCCTCTCTCCCTTCCCACCCACCACCAGACACACATATACAGGAATATAAACTCCATGAGGACAGAGACTCTTGTTGTCTCTTGACTCACTGAATTATTCTACTGCCTAGTAGGCACTCCGTGAACATTTAATAAATGAATCTGTCTGCGAATCTTCTTACCATTGAAGGACACTCTTTTACAGATAGGTCCTTTGTTCACACTGCCCCCATTAGTTCCCTACACCCATATCTTTTTCTCTTCCTGCTCTCGCCTTCCCCACTTTTCCTCTTTGCACACGGCGAAGTGGGCTGGTCCATAGTCTCTGCCTTTTTCTTGGTAGAATCCCCACTCAGACCTCTTGAATTTGTCCCAGAGGCTGCTTTCACTATCCTTGTTTTGAATTCTTTTTTCTTCTTGTTTTTCTAACTGGTTGTTTTTTACTTCCTTATGTTCCAAGTCACTGATTTGATTCTCGACTTCATTCACTTTACTATAGTGTCTCTGTAAATTGTTCCTTATTTCAATTAGTGTGTGCTTCGTTTCTGACTGGGTCTTTTTTTGTTTGTTTGCTTGTTTGTTTGTTTTAAGTATTTTAATGTGCTTTTCCTTAAAAATTTTAGAGAGAGGAAAAGGGAGAAAGAGAGGGAGAGAAACATCAGTGTGTGGTTGTCTCTCGTGCATCCCCCAGTGGGGACCTGGCCTGCAACCCAGGCATGTGTCCTGACTGGGAATTGAACCTGTGACCCTTTGGTTTGTAGGCCTGTATGCAGTCCACTGAACCACACCAGCCATGGCTGACTGGGTCTTTTTTATTTTGTGGAAGTCCTCACTAAGTTCCTTGAGCATCTTTTGTAACCAGTATTTTGAACTCTCCCTCTGATATCAATTTTCTCCATTTGGTTTAGTTCTTTTTCTGGAGTTTTGATCTGTTCTTTCATTTGGGCCATGTTTCCTTGTCTTCTCATTTGGGCAGCTTCCCTGTGTTTGTCTCTATGTATTAGGTAGAGCTTCTATGACTCCCTGTCTTGGTAGCGTGGCCTGATGTAGTAGATATCCTGTAAGGTTCAGTGGCACATCGTCCGCTATCACCTAAGCTGGGTACTCGAGGTGTGCCCTTCATGTGGCTGAGTACACCGTCCTCTTATAGTTGGGCCTTGATTGCTGTTGGCAGATCAATGGGAGGGACTTACCCAGGCCTGTCAGCTGTGGACTGGCTGTGCCACTGACCACAAACTTTCACCCTCCATGGAGGATCCTCTGTGCAGGGACAGGGTGGTGGTGCTCCAACATGGTCTGTAGCTGTCCGCTGGGTGCACTGGCCCTGGGGTTTCCTGGGTGGTACAGGCCAAGTTCATCATCCTCCCCTCCCATCCCCGTGTTTTGCCCAGGGCCACCCTGCCTGAGCTATAAAGCAATGTGCATATGGCTGCTACTTGTGCTGGGCTTGGAGATTCCCAGATGAAGCCAAGCTGTGGACCTAGGCTGGCTGCTGCTAGTGCCAGGCCTGGGGCCCCTTGGCAAGAGGTACAGGGGCCGGGAGCTCACTGAAGCGAGCTGTTGCTTGTTTGAGAGGATTTAGGAAGTTGTGAAGCATGAACCAAGACCACCCATTCAAATGGAAAAGTCACCGTTAATGGTTTGGGTGGGCAGGTAAGTTGAATGGGACAGAGCCTCAGGGGATCTCCAGGGCTGGGCAAACAGTATTAGCCAGGTTGACAGAGTCTCAGATATGGCACCAGCTTGCCAGCTCTATGGCTGTGTGCAGGGAGGGTTCAGAAAAGCCTGCTTTTCTGTCTGGGAGAAGGCTGCGTCCTCCAGCTCTTGCCCTGGTGCCAGACATTTCAAGGCGTGATTCTGAGTAAGTCTGTATGTTGGTTCTTGAAGAGGAACTGCTTGGGACTCCAAGTTTTTTTTACCCACTCAATACGTGCTGGTTTTTGCAGCCAGAAGTCATGGGGACTTACCTTCCTGGCACTGAAACCCTGGTCGGGGGGGTGGGGGGGCGGGGGGGGCTGGTATAGGGCTGGGACTTCTCCCAAGATAGCCCTCCCAAATTTTCATCCAGCACATGTGGGCGAGGGACCAGCCCGTTCCACATCTCTGCCCTTCCTACCAGTCTAGATGGATGTAGTTTCCTTAATTCTGTAGTTTTCTGACTTCCCTTCAACTTGATTTCTGATGGTTCTAAGTTATGGTTGCTCTAGTTTAGTTGTAATTTTGATGTGATTGTGCAAGGAGGCGAGCTGTGGTTACCTATGCCTTCATCTTTCGGTGACTTTAAAGTTAAACTTTAATATTACCTTCTTTAGTCTGATTAATTGTACTTATGTAACCTTTCCTTTCTCTTAACTTCTACATCACATTGCTTTCACCACTAATGGCATACACAGTTGTATATGTACACACACTCACACACACAGGACTTGCCATTTTTCTACTGTGTGTAGAAAAACTTGTAAATACCTTCAGGCCATTGAAGAAGTATTCTCATTTTTGTATTATCCCTGAAAACTCTTAATAATGCCTTTTATTATCCATAGTAAATACTTTTTGTAATATTTATCGAATTGAGTTGAGAATATTTATTAGCTATTGGCCCTTAAAGCATCTTGTGGGTAAGGCAAGGTAGCAACATCTTTAATTAATGAGCCTATCTCACTAACACCAAATTGAAAACGACTTAGGTCTGATGAAGATCCTCAGTATTCTGTTGATGCCTGTGTTTGTACCCTAACCCTGAACATCTAAGCTCATTCAGGATCTCAGAATGGAACGTTCATGGTACTTCTTCCTTCAACAAGAACTTCCCATTAAGGATGTACAGTCTTTTCAAGATGCTCTGGGTTAGGTTTAGCCTAGACTCCTGTCATCAGTCCGATCAGCTTTAATTTCAGTGGTGGGGGCTCTATGGGAATCCGTGACTTCAGCTGTGTTCACCATTCTGAGATACATGTGGAATGTCCACTCAGTCTTGGTTTCATGACTCATATTTTCCCGTCAGACTTGGTCATGTATCCTAATAAGACTAGAGCCGTGCTTAAGGAAAAACATTTTTAAAATACAAAGTAGGTAGCAAATCATGTTTCTTGTTATTTTATAAAGAATTTTTTTGAACTGCAGTTAGAGGCAGCATCTCACCTTTTTAGATTTATCAGAAGTGTGGATTTGTATTCTCTTTTTGATGAGAAATAGTTAATATTTCATTAATATTAAATAATTATTTTCCTATTAAAACTGGTGTTTTCTTTGCAGAAAATCTTTGTTATAATAACATTCAGCAAACACATAGTGGAACAGATGGTGGCTTTCATTGGGTGAGTAATTCTTTAAGGACTAATATTCATATCACTGTTTGGGTGGGAGGAAATGTATAAAGGACTTAATTGGGATAGAATCATGATAGCTCTTCGTTTCTTGAGGAAATATCTTTTGCCCTGTTATTAGTTAAATTGAAGAAGACTTTCTTGAACTGCAGCTGGAAAGGATGAAGCTGAGATTATCCTTGTTTCATTTTAAACCAGACATGTATCAAGCCATACAATTCTTGATTTATCAGAAACTTTGGAGTTTGAGACTATTGCTCCTCCAAAGAAATAAGAAATTCTGTTCATATAAAGATGTCTTGTAATGCTTTAGTGCTGTCTTGTAATGCTTCAGTACAGTGCTGTGTCTTTTAGCCAGATACACGGTTACATTTAACTACAAATCTGCATAAGATATTAACACTTCATTATATAAGACATGATAATATAATATTGCCAAAATATGTCAGTCACTAGAGAAAAATCAGGTCATTTCAAAAGGCTTCTATGCAAAGCTTTTATTTTTATGTGTCTAGAGGTAAGACCAGTTTTAACCTGTGTTTTCAATGATAATGTTACAAATTTGTGGAGTTGACTTTGATAAAACAATAAAAAAAGAAGGACTCATTTTGTTTGATCAAATTAACTTTCACCTGGAATGTGAATACTGTCAGATATTAAATGAAACTTTTAAACATATGAATCGTTACTCTGTTTACAGGAGAGAGGTTTTCTTTCATTTAATGATATTACTAACAGTGGTGGAAAAGTGTTACCTTGAGTGTCCTTTATGTAGTTTTAATATAAATTTATATATTAAAATCCATTTATGAAACAAAACATTTATGAAAATTTTTGCTATTTTAAAAAATTGCCACTAAGAGGTGAGTTCATGAGTATTTAATTATTCTTTAAACCATACATTATATAATATTTTCTCTTTTCTGCATATGTTTTGTAATAAAGTAATATTTAATATTTTCTATTTAGTTTTTAATGTAATAATTGAGGAAAAACACATTCTTGAGAATATACTCAGTGGAGCCAGTCATTGGTTTTATCACTTCCTAAACTTCTGATTATAAATGTGGGTTATAGCTTGTACATTAAAATTTAATTGCTCCAGTTTTTGTTGGTTGAATCCTTACAAATAAAATAGTAAGTAAACATATGTTGCATTTCAAAAGAAAGAAGGAATACTCTTGTTCTCCCTTAGTTTTAAATACAAAGGGGGCACTTCTTAGAGATTGCTGTCCCACTTGGAGAGAATTCTGAAGGGCATAACTGGTACCCGTCGCTCTCAACCCCATAAACCCACGGTGTAGGAGTGACTGCACTCAGCACCCTCCACCCTCCCTTCCTCCTTTTCCTGTATGGCACATTCATAGGAGGAGGTTTCTTGGCCATTTTTACATCCTCGCCGCCACCACCTTTTGTTTCCCCAGGTTGTGGAGTTTCTAAAAAGTTAGACTAGTTAGCCACCTGTGTCTTCCACCCACACTTAGTTTCATTCCCTTCCGATCTGTTCATCATACTGCAGTTAGTAACTCTTGAAAAATCTTACCCAGAACAAGTTGCCACCACTGTCCTCACCCCTCAGCTCCTCTTCTTGAAACCCTTTACTCTTTCCCCTTAATTCTTAAGTAATGCCAAAACTCCTTAACATGTCTAGAAAGCCTTGAGTGATCTAGCCCCCGTTGTTTTCTCTGCTAGAGTCTCCCACCACCGTCTTGACTTGTGTTTTTCCCTTTGCCTAGTTCAGGATTTCTCAGCCTTGGCACTATTAACATTTTAAGCCAGAGACTTTTTTGTTGTAGGGCCCTTTCCTGTGCATTTTAAGATAGGTAGTTGCGTCCTTATTCTTTACTCACTGGGTGCCAGTGGTATGTCCCTATTGGGACAATCAAAAATGTCCCCAGACATTGCCAAATGTCCCATGACAAGTATATCCCCACTAAAAACCCCTGGTCTAGCTAATGTCCTTTAGATTTCAGCTATTACACTCACAAAGCACCTTCTCTGACGAAGTCAAATACCTTCCTTCTTAGGGACCTCTGTTCACAGGATCATGTACTACATGTACTGACAGTTGTATTGTTACATTTATGTTTGAGAGCATATGACTATTGTCCTTCTACCACTAACCTATGAGCTTCCTAATGTCAGAGGCCATGCCTCTTTTTATTCACTTTTACATACACAGCAGTTGGCATCTCGATTGACACAAAGCAGGTGGTAGATAAATACCTGGTGAATAAAGGAACACATTGTGTCTAAATTTAAAGATACGGCCAATAAAAATTAGCAAATGATAGGTATAGCCCAGATTTTTCGGTTTCTCTGGCCTTTGGAGTTTCTAAGAAGTTATATTATCTATAGTAAATAGAAATGAAAGTGCTTTAAGCTTAAACCACCATTTTTAAAGTTAGAATTTCTTATGGTTTTCACAGTCAGAATTTCCTTCCCTTTACCATCTCCTCTAGCAAAACTCCAGTGATCCTTTCTTCTTAAAGATAATGCTACGAGTTATTCTAAGATACTCATGACCTTCTGAATTTTTATTTTTATTTAACTAGATGGGTGGTGTTGTATTTTAAAAATTGTTTTCAGCTTTGAGCAGTGGCAATATCGTAGCCAATGAGGTTTATCCGAGGCACGATTATTACTAATTGAAAAATTGTTTTCAGGAGGCAGATGTTGGCGTGCCCTGATACCTTCCACTTCCCCAGTACTGTCTACAGCAGGGGTGTCAAACTCATCTACACGGGGGGGCCACATCAGTCTTGCAGGTGTCTTCAAAGGGTCGAATGTAATTTTAGGACTGTGTAAATGTAACTACTCCTTAACTAGGGGCAAGGAGCTCTGCGTTGCCTCTAGGTAGAAACGAGGTGGAGGGCTGGATTCTGCCGGGGGCCTTGTGTTTGCCACCTGTGGTCTACAGGGATTACCTCATCAACTTCTTTTATAGACAGTATATTAAATAGAGTAACTAGTGTGTTCAAATGATAATAAATAAAGAGACTCACTAAACCTAAACTGATAATTAAGTTAAACACCAGAGAATTTTTATTAAACCTGAAGTTATTTTATATCACAATAAGTAGCTTAGCAGTTTATTTCAGAAAAGGGAAAGAGGATAGATTGATTCCCTAAACCCTTGTTGAGCTGAACTCAAAATGCTGCCTGTAGCTTGCCATAGAAGCATTCACCTTTGATTATTAGTTTTCCCTCTTTACACTGTTAAAACTCTAAATGGTAAATCACGTTATCAAATTAAACTAGTAAAGCTTGGAATACAGCCTGTTGAAGGATATTTAAAACTTTGTGCCTACAATTAAGGGACTGATGAATGGCCACGGCAGAGAGGAAAAATCAAAAGACTAGGGAAAAAGTCAGCAACAGTTCAAATTTAAAATAAAATTATGAGATGCTAAGGCGTGGGAGAATGAAAAGTGATTCTCAACAGTGAGGACAGCTGTAGATAGAAGATGAAGAGCACACGGGCTTTGAACAAAACAGACCCAGGTTTAAATATGAACTCCACCACAGTTGTTCCCTTTCGTGTTCACTGTTCTTTCAAACAACACGAATTGAGCAGCGTCTCCTTTTCCAGTTTTCCAGGCTTCCGATGCCCTTTCCAACTTCCAGTCAGAATGTGAACTCTCCTCTATTAAAATGTCATATAAGCCCTGGCTGGCGTAGGTCAGTGGATTGAGTGCAGACTGCGAACCAAAGTGTCGCAGGTTCAATTCCCAGTCAGGGCACATGCCTGGGTTGCAGGTCATGGCCCCCAGTAACCGCACATTGATGTTTCTCCCTCTCTCTCTCTCTGTCTCTCTCTCTCTCTCTCTCTCTCTTCCCTCTCTAAAAATGAATAAATAAAATCTTCAAAAAAATGTCATATAGTGTAATTGAACATATTTATATAAGTGATTTAACATTCCAAGGCATGCGGGTTTTTTAAATGCCTTTCTTCTCAAGTTTTATGTTACCTGTGTCCTCAAAGACTCATTTTCAAAAATTTCACTGACTGGACAGAACGTGAACTCCTAGGTGACTATTTTGTGTGTTCTCAGGGAGGATTGAGGGAAGGCCTACTTCTCCTTAAAGAAAGGACCCATTCCTGTGCCTTCTCTGATCCATAAAATGCCTTGAATCAGGACAGTTTTTCATTAAAGATGATATAAATAATTCTTGAGGATACTATTTTTTTAACATACTGAGCATTCTCTGTGTGCATATAAATAATGTTACTGTTCACTTTTCATTTCGGTCATGTATGATGGGTATTTATCCCCCTTTTATTGATTAAGAAATGGGCTGTGATTGGTCAAAAAAACTCATGATTTTTTAAAAGATTTTATTTATTTATTTTTAGAGGGGAAGGGAGGGAGAAAGAGAGAGAGAGAAACATCAATGTGTGGTTGCCTCTCACGTGGCCCCCACTGGGGACCTGGCCTGTAACCCAGGCATGTGTCCTGATTGGGAATTGAACCTGCAACTCTTTGGTTCGCAGCCCGCGTTCAATCCACTGAGCTAAGCCAGCTAGGGCTGATTTTTTTTATCTTAGTTTTTTTTTTTTCTTAATTCATAAAAGGGGGTTCATACTATATGTAATTTTTGGGGACTTTTCACTTATATTGCTTATGTTGTGTGTTGCTGAAAATTATTTATTTTGACTGCTGTATATTCTATTGGGTAATTATTCATCTACTCTCCCACTGATAGACATTTTGAATATGTTCTTTTTTTTTTTTTTTTGCTATTTTGAATAAATACAAGCATTTCTTAGTGTAAGATAGCTGAGCACACAGTAAGGAGCTGAAGGGTTTGATGAAAGGGACAACACAGAAGAGGGATAAGATAAATAACAGAGCGATGGGGCATAGAAGCAAGATAACCCTTAGTCTTATAAGTTACCTTAGTTTTGTCTAGTGCCAAAACTGAGCAAAATCCCACTACTGGTGGCCTGCCAGGCCAGGCTACCCCTCCCCGCGGGTGGCAGGCAAAGA